TATCTTGCGTTTTTCTGGCTCGATTTTTATTTTGTTTGCTTCAGATGACAGAGAAAGAGTTGCTTAATTAAATGGACTACATTTTGGTACCATCAAAGGTCGGAAAGTGTCTTTAAATTGATCTCCAAATTCAGCAATTTTGTTCATTTTTGAAATGTTCTGGTGGCAAATGGTCTGTATCTTGCGTTTTTCTGGCTCGATTTTTATTTTGTTTGCTTCAGATGACAGAGAAAGAGTTGCTTAATTAAATGGACTACATTTTGGTACCATCAAAGGTCGGGAAGTGTCCTTAAATTGATCTCCAAATTCAGCAATTTTGAACATTTTTGAAAAGTTCTGGTGGAAAATGGTCTCTATCTTGCGTTTCTCTGGCTCGATTTTTATCTTGTTTGCTTCAGATGACAGAGAAAGAGTTACTTAATTAAATGGACTACATTTTGGTACCATCAAAGGTNNNNACTTAATTAAATGGACTACATTTTGGTACCATCAAAGGTCGGGAAGTGTCCTTAAATTGATCTCCAAATTCAGCAATTTTGTTCATTTTTTAAATGTTCTGGTGGAAAATGGTCTGTATTTTGCGTTTCTCTGGCTCGATTTTTATTTTGTTTGCTTCAGATGACAGAAGAAGAGATGCTTAATCAAATGGACTACATTTTGATACCATCGAATGTCGGGAAGTGCCCTTAAATTGATCTCCAATTTCAGCAATTTTGAACATTTTTGAAAAGTTCTGGTGGAAAATGGTCTGTATTTTGCGTTTCTCTGGCTCGATTTTTATTTTGTTTGCTTCAGATGACAGAGGAAGAGTTACTTAATTAAATGGAACTCATTTTGATACTATTAAGGGTCGGGAATTGCTCTAAAAGTGATCTCCAATTTTAGTCATTTTGTTCATTTTTGAAAAGGTTTGGTACAAAATGGTCTGTATCTTGCGTTTCTCTGGCTCGATTTTTATTTTCTTTGCTTCAGATGACAGAGGAAGAGTTACTTAATTAAATGGACTTCATTTTGATACCATCAAGGGTTGGGAAGTGCCCTTAAATTGATCTCCAATTTTAGCAATTTTGTACATTTTTGAAATGTTCTGGTGGAAAATGGTCTGTATCTTGCGTTTCCCTGGCCCGATTTTTATTTTCTTTTCTTCAGATAACAGAGGAAGTGTTACTTAATTAAATGAACTTCATTTTGATACCCTCAAGGGTCGGGAAGTACCCTAAAATTGATCTCCAATTTCTGCAAGTTTGCTCATTTTTGAAAAGTTGAGGTCGAAAACGATATTGGGAATATTGGGAATAATGATTTGCAGTTGGAACGTCATATAAATTTTGCACAGGGCGTTAATGACGCCAAAACTTGCACTGCCATGCTGTCACGAAATACGTGCCGATATTTTGCATGTAAGCAATTTTTTTGTCGCGTTCA